AAGTGTACCACACACTGTCCACAATCTCCAAGTGTACCATAGAAGGCTCTAGTTCTGAGGCCAGGACTGGAGAGTGGGAAGGTGAGTCTCATTCTCCCTCCCTCTGCTGTAATAGGCCCCCTTTATAGTTCTCTCTAGTCCAGGCTAGAGAGGGTTCCTTACACAGTGGTGCCAAGGTCCTTGAGGTACCCACCATGGCAGACAGACCCTAGCAACAGAGCTATCTTCAGCTCAAGGCTGACCCTGGAGTCAGAGAGACATGGGTCCAAATCCTGGCTCCGGTCGTTTGGCTGTAAGCAAATGACCTCTCCCCCTTGAACCACAGTTTCCTCATCTGTCAAATAGGAGTAATAAAGTACCTAGGGTTTCTGTGAGATTAGGACAGACTGGGGGCTCAGTGCAGGATCTGTCATATAGGTTCTCAGTAAATGTTACTGATGTCTCATATCTTGAACTCATTTACCCTTGCCTTTCTCTCCTCCTAAGCGGCTGGAACCAAGGACAGAGTGATGTTTACTGCATGCACAGCTATGCAGGGGGACCCCAAGTCACTGCCCCCATCCCCACCCACTGCCCTGAGGTGGGAGCCATTGTTCCATTTGGCAAATGAGAAAACCGAGACACAGAGAGGTTAAGGACATATTCCTGACCACCCAGCCAGGTGTGGACTGAGACTGGAGCAAGCTGGGGGTTCTGGCCTGAGCCTCAAGGGACCCTCCCATAGCTGCTCAGAAATGTGGAGCCTGAAGGAACCATGGAGGGATCTGTCCCCCAGAGCTCTCCCTACTCTTTTCAGACTAGGACAAGTGACCTGATGGCAGATTGGGCCAGCCCATACACCCTGCTGAAACCTATCCCCATCACCACTTGGCCCCCCATCCTGAAGTAGGAAGGAATGATGGGGGAGGAGGCTATAAGGAAGGAGGTAGAGGGTTCCTGGACCCTACCCCTGAATGATTTCTCCAGGTCAGTCCTCTCTTTCTTGAGCCACAGACTGTAGGGGGGAGAGGTACCGGTGGGGGGGGGGGGCAGGGCACAACAGAATTGGCTGACTCTGCCCAGCGAAGGTGCCCTTTCCTGAACCTGGTTAGACCAGCCGCCTCCAATTTCCCAGGGATTGAGAGGCCCAGAAGCTGGTGGGAGCACCTGTTCCCCCATTGATACCCTCTCTAGGGCCCTGGGTAGACCCTAGTGCAGCTGCATTATCTATCTGGGGAACTGACCCTGCTACTCTGGGCCCTGGCCCCTTTGATGGTGGTTAGGACTGGGTCAGTACAGGGGGAAAAAAATAGCCCCCAGCCGGGCAAGAAACTAGGACTCCTGAGCACCTGCTTCTGCCTCAGTTTTCCCATCAGTCCAGTGTGGATGAGGCTGCTACCCCCAGCAAGGCTGTAGTGCTTTGGGACAAGAACATGAGAATCTTCCTTGCTCACAGGGTGGACTCCGGCTGCCCTAATCACCCTTTCCTCCCCCAGGGACCCTGTTAGGAGCCCATAGGGTAGCCTCCCTCCTCCTGACTCCCAGGCTCTTTGGGGTTTGATGAAGGACTCTGAGACAGGAGTCAAATCTCAGGAAGCGGTGCCTGGCTTGGCAACTGGGCCAGGTGGGCAGTTGCTGGCCGCCCACTCTGTAAACCACAGTGCACAGCGGCCTGTCCAGGAGCTCTGGTTCCATGGGCCGGGTCTCCCTGAGACCCTGGGTGGGTGGGAGGGCAGGCTCGTGACAGGCATGTGACAGAGAGAGTAGAGACAGACCACTCATTGTGGCCCAGGCCAAGCTGTGGGCAGCTGGTGCCCGCCCTCCACCCCGGCAGCCAAAATGACTCGCCCCTCACCCCCGCCCACCCCACAGTTGGAGGTCACAGCGGATCTGGCAGAGCGGCGGCGCATCCGCTCAGCCATCCGGGAGCTGCAGCGGCAGGAGCTGCAGCGTGAGGAGGAGGCCCTGGCATCCAAGCGCTTCCGTGCCGAGCGGCAGGACAACAAGGAGAACTGGCTGCAGTGAGTGGTCAGGGCGGTGGTCATGCAGGTGGGAGGAGGCTGGCGTTGTGCAGGCAGGCATGAGCACAGCTGTGTCTGCTGCCCATCTGGGTGTGCAGATGGCAGTACCGGCCGGCATTTGGAATACACCGGGGTGAATGCGGGCCCGGACCACTCGCCGGTCACGGGGCCCTGGACACACCCATGTCCACAGCACGTCTGAGCCTGTGGTTTGAGTGCTCACGGACATGGGCAGGCGTGTGCCAGTGGGGAGCCAGAGGGGGTGCGCCGCTCCCTGCCCCTCTGCCAAGGTTCTGGGTACCCTGTCCTGGCCCCACCCCTCAGCCCACATCCTCCATGACTTGGCTGTGGCAGTGGCGGTTATGGTCCTGATGTCCCTGCAGCTCTCAGCAGCAGGAGGTGGAGCAGCGAGCTGCTCTGGCACGGCTGGCAGGGCGGCTGGAGTCCATGAATGATGTGGAAGAGCTGACCGCGCTGGTGAGGCCCAGGCCAGGGCGGGGGACGGGGCGGGGCAGGTGAGGAGCCGGCCTCCGCGGTCCAGCACCTGTGGCCTGCTTCTCATCCACAGCTGCGAGGTGCCGGTGAGTATGAAGAACGCAAGCTGATCCGAGCTGCCATCCGCCGCATAAGGGCCCAGGAGATTGAGGGTAGGTGCTCTGCCCTGGCCCTGCCCTGTGCCCTGCTGCATGCTCCCCACAGCACCTCCGGGCCACCCACTGACATTTTGTCCTTCCCTTCCAGCTGCCACGTTGGCTGGGAGGTTGTGCAGCGGGCGTCCCAACAGTGGCTCAAGAGAGGAGAGCAAGGGGCGGGCAGCACAGAGGCTGGAACGGTGTGAGGTAAGGAAGGTGAGCACGGTGGGAGCGTAGCCCAGTGTCCTGTGCCCATGGATGCCAGCAGCAAAGAGCACCTGTGTGTCTTTGCTAGGCTGGTACTTGACCCGGGGCGGGGGGGTGGACACTAGGGCTCTATCTCAGGCCCCTGCCTCTTCTCCTGGGCAACTTCTGGCCACATGTCCCCCAGTCTAGACTTTGCATCTACCCAGGCCTTCCCCTCAAAGCCATCTTGTCTATACTGCTCCCGAGTATGTCTCCCCATTACCACCCTGCTGGCCTCCCTACTTCCATGCCCCCCTCTGACCCACCATGGCCATCCAGCCTCCACTCAGTAGCCAATGCAATCTCCCTGAAATGTAAATCTGACCCTGGTACCTCCCCAGCTTAAACCCATCCTGAGGGCTGTCCCTCCCTGTCCAAACAGCCGACATCCTGACTTTGGCTTATCAGGGCCTACCTATCACACCCCAGCTGATGGGTGGAGCACTGTTCACAGAGTTGACTGTTCTCCGGGGAGTGTGGTCAAGCTGTGTAGATTCCTTAAGTGGCCAGCAGAGGCCGCTGGGTCCCAGTCCCTGAAGGAATACCCCCACAGACACACCCACTGATTAGCCAGGCTAGGATCAGGGCTCTGGGGCCTCAGCTCCAGGGATCTGTTAAGGCCAGGAGTCCCCAGCAGGTCTCCTTTCATCCCCAACCCCTGGCATAGGATCTGGTCCTCTCTGAACCACCCTCCACTAGGCAGTGCCAGGAGGTTGGGAAGTGAGGATCAGCATCCATGCATGTGCGGGTGTGCCCACAGGAAGCTATGCCTAGCCCCTCTGCTTTGCCTGCCCTGCCCTGGGCACCTGACAGCCTGGGGAGCCTTGGCTGCATCCCGTGGGTCACCCACAGGTGCCAGAGCCAGAGAAACAGGAGCAGCAGGCAGAGGTCCCAGAGCCAACCCCAACCCCCCAGGGCACCAGCCGGGATGTGACCACGGTGACACTTCTGCTGCGGGCCCCACCTGGGGGCACACCCAGCTTACCTGCCTCGCCTGCCAGTTCACCCACCACTGCTTCTCCTGAGCCTCCACTAGAGCCTGCTGAGGCCCAGTGTCCTGCTGCTGAGGCTGTGGGCAGCCCAGAGCCACCCTCCAGCCCACCCAGGGCCACCAGTCCTGAGCCCCAGGAAGCGCCAGCCACCCCCAACACTGAGAGGCAGGTGGTCAGCAAGGTGAGTGTGGATGAGGGACAGGGATGCCAGGCAGGTGAGCTCCTTGGTTTGGGAGGCAGGCCCTGCCTATGCTATGTCTCCCCTGCAGCTCCTGCCTGGCCCCACAGAGCCCCCAGCTGTCCAAGGCCCCACCAAAGGTCCTTCCAACACAAAGAGAGCAGGTGAGGGTCCCAGCAGGGGTAGCTACAGGCCTCCCCTTCCGTGTCTGGAAAATGGGCTCTAGTGCCTAGACAGCTTCAGCTTCTTCAAGGCTAGGCAGTCCCTGACACTCCTCCTACTGCCCTGAAGTGTCC